ATACTCTTCAGTTGAATTAGGTTCCACTTGTCAATGTTTTGTCTTTATTGCAGTTACTTTTGAGGACTTAGTCATAAATTCTTTCCCAAGTTCAATGTCCAGAATGGTATTTTCTAGGTTTTCTTCTAGGATTCTTATAGTTTGAGGTCTTACATAGATTGCTGATTTCACTGGCTGACTTTCTTAGCATTAGATTTTTAAAGTATGCGTTGTAGAATTTTAGTTTTTAGGCCATTTTGAGTGGGAAGTTTTTCCCCACAACTCATGTTCATTTTTTCTCTTCATTTTTTCATAAAGGTTTTTCAGTTCCCTCTACCCAGGTCCCCTAGACTCCCTCCTGCACATGCCTTATAAAGGTGTCTTGGGGCACGTGCCCTATTGTAATACTAGGATGTCCTAGACCCAGGAACTGAGCAAGCAGGTGGCTTAGTTTAGTTCCAAGTATTAAGACTGCGTGTGTATCCTGCTGCTTTTCGACCCACAGCTACAAATAAGTTATATCCCAGGAAGCAGTTGATGGCTATTATTGTTTCTCTTCCTTTTCTTCCCAGCTTTCTCTCACAAACACTGCCCACATAACATTAAAGAGCGAGACCAGCTATGGTTCCCTAACACCTGAGGAGCTGAACTCTGGCATGCCAGATCAAGAGCCCAGTGGCCCTTGGCTTCAGCCTTCCTCACTGCTTTTTCATTTCTCTTATATTTCTGCCTCGTGGGGGAGGAGGAGTTATCTTGTTTTTGAGACTGGCAGTGTCTATTATTGCTGTGTATTTGGAGCAGAACAGGGGGATACTTTGAAGTATGAACTTACTGTGCCAACTTGACTGGAGGTTTATTTATTTATTTATTTATTTATTTATTTTTTGAGATGGAGTTTCACTCTTGTCACTCAGGCTGGAGTCCAGTGGTGCCATCTCAGCTCACTGCAACTGACTGGAGGTTTTTTAACCTGGAAACAAAACTTGATCAGATATTTTAGATATTTCTCCCCTCCCTCCTTACCCCCACCCTATTCCCTGAAGGAATTGTGGAGGGTAGATTGAAAGGGAAACTAAAACTACGTAAGTAATTTAGGACACCAAGGGTAACACATGATCAAGGTCTGAACCAAGATGAAGAGGAAAGAATGGATTTGGAAGATAATTAGTGGTTATAGTCAACAGACATGAATAACTGAATTTGGGAAGTATATACTTGGATATTTAACTTAGAATGGAGATAAAAGTCACTGAGAAAGGAATATGGGAAGAAGAGTAGATTTTGGTTTGCTATGAGTCAGGAATAGAGACAGGAGTTTGAAGATTTTTATGATTGTTTGAAGCCTAGTACATGTTTTACTAAAGATCTTGTGATGCATATTTTTCCTAGTTGTGCATCTCAATATCCCAGATCTTTGAATTTGCCATATTTCCAAATCTCTTTACACGATGTTCAGCTTTAAACATACATATAGATTTCTCCCCAGCATCTGGGAAACTTTTTCTCAGCATATTCATTCATTTCACAAACTTTTCTTAAGTGCCTCTTAAACAAACAAGCATAGACTGGCTTTCATGGATGTCAGTTTAGTGGAAAGAAAAGACAGTTACCAAATGGGAAATTACAAACTGTGGAAATGCTGTAAAAGATAAGGATAAGATGCTGTGAGAATGTATGAAAGCAGGGCCTGCCCAAGTCAGAGGCCCACGTCTATGCGTAGGGCACACTGGGGCGGGGGGTGTTCACTGTTGGTGGAAGGCTTTCCCGAAGAAATTGGAGCTGTTCCCTGTCTGGCACACCCTGCCCTAAGCAGCCTGCAGAGCTGGCTGCTTCTGCTGTTCAAGACTCAGCCATGTTAACTCCTCTGAAAGACTTTCCATGACTGCACCCAAAATTAATGTCTAGCCATCTAGCATAGCACTCTTCTTTATTTCCTTTAGAGCATTTATTTTTGTCTGAAATTATCTTGATGATTATTGGATGTTTCAACCAACTACAATGTAAGTGTCACAAGTGCAGGGACCTTACCTCTTTTTTTTTTGATGTGTACCGCCATTGCTTAGAATACTTCCTGAAACTAAGTGTTCCGGAAATGACTGACTGCATAAATGAATTTCCTTGGATCTTGATTTTTTGCATAGTTGCTCTAATAATTTGATCTTGTCCTTTTCGTTCGTTTGTTTGGGAGGACTCCTCAAGTTGGCTGTCTGCTTATTGATTTTTATATCACCTGTATCCTATCCTCACTCCCCTGTCATGCTCTAACTGAGGTTGCCAATTGTAGCATCACACCCTATGGCCATGGTGATGAGTACGTGACTGTTTCAGGCTGAGCCAGTTGGAGTCCTTCTGATACTCCAAATTTAAAGGAAGGAAGAAGGAGACTTCACAGGTGGCAGTGTGAATCTAGAGTTGTTGGTGGCCATAACCACCTTTGGATAAAAGAAGAGAAAATGCAGGCATTTCCTAGAGAAGCAGAGACGGCAGGGTGAAAGATATCCTGGTCGTTTTCCAATCTTGGCTTCCTCTGTGCCTGAGGCTCAGTTGCAACCCCTTGTTTTCCCATGACTTTTCCCTTACCCAGTTCAAATGAAGTTTCTGTCACTTAGCCAAAAGATTCCCAATTAAAACTGTACCTCATCCAGGCCAGGTGCAGTGACTTACGACTGTAATCCCAGCACTTTGGGAGGCCAAGGCAGGTGGATCACAAGGTCAAGAGATCGAGACCATCCTGGCCTACATGGTGAAATCTCCTCTCTACTAAAAAAAAAAAAAATTAGCCGGGTGTGGTAGCACACACCTGTAGTCCCAGCTACTGGAGAGGCTCAGGGAGGAGAATCGCTTGAACCTAGGAGGCGGAGGTTGCAGTGAGCCGAGATCGCCCCATTGCTCTCTAGCCTGGGCAACAAGTGTGAAACTCCATCTCAAACAAACAAAACCCAAAAACTGCACCTTGTCTAACACCTTTTTATCTTGATGTCTTTGATATAATATCCTTGGGTGTTGATCTTTTGACATAGTTTAATTTCTAATTTCGGAGAATCCATGTTTTCTACTTCCAACTCCCTTTCTTTCTTTTGCTGCCTAAATTCTCTATTTTCAGTACTTCTTTTTAGTATGCTGTCCTCCCTTTCTTTTCAGAACGTGTTGCTTAGTAGTAAGCAGGTGCTGTCTAATTATTGCTGCTGCTGTTATTAAACTCATCCTTGAAGCAGGTTTATTAGGCTCTTCTAGGATTTTCTAACTTTCAACTTTGATGCTTTCGAACAGCCAGGTTAGTGTCTACTATCTCTAGGGTGATAGGAAGCCAGGGGCAGAAGCTCACTGCTGGGTTATTTCTTCCCTATTTTTGACGAACTGCTGCAGCCTGATCTTCCTGGCGTTGCTGACTGCTACCTCAGGGAGGAGCTCTGATGGTCTGGGGAGAAGTCCTCCCTCCTTGCAACTGGCTCTCTCTGCTTGGTGTAACTGCTTGTCTCTTAGAACTATTGCAGGTGTCCTCAAATCCCACCTATCCACACAGACTCCAAGGAGAATATTCCACATCTGTCCTATGATTTCTAGTTCTAACCTAATTAGAGCAGTATTACAAGAAGTTATTTCAGGCCAAGCAATCTCTTAGGCAGCTAAGTTGTAAATTGACTTAGTATTTTTCATCAATCTGGTTTCATGTACACTATGTCAAGAAGAAAATTAGCGGCTTTTTGGTATTGGTAATTTGTTCCTTTATTGATTAATTCACTCAGTAAATTTTTTTTTTTGAGAGTGAGTCTCATGCTGTCACCCAGGCTGGAGAGGCTGGAGTGCCATGGCCCAATCTTAGCTCATTGGAACCTCTGCCTCCTGGGTTCAAGCAATTCTCATCCCTTAGCCACTTAGTAGTTGGAATTACAGGCATGCGCCACCATGCCTCCCTAGTGTTTTTAGTAGAGACAGGGTTTCACCATGTTGCCAGTCTGGTCTCAAACTCCTGACCTCAAGTGATCCACCCGCCTTGGTCACTTAGTACATACTTACTGAGCATCTACTGAATGCCAGTCACTCTTGGAGACACCGAAGATACCAATGTCTAAAATAAGAGTTCTCTGCCCCTCATGGAGCTTGTATTTTTGATGAGGAAACAACCAATAAGCAAGTAAACCAATAAATATATGATGTTATGTAGTGATAAATGCCGAAGTGAAAAATAAAACAGGATAAGGGAATAGAGTGATAGGGATGGAGCTCTTTTAGAAAGAGCAGACAGAAGGGGGATTCTCTGAGGAGGTGACTTTTGAGAAGAGACCTGAATGAATCAGGGATCAAGCCACACAAAGAGTTCCTAGCAGAAGCAGCAGCCAAAATATGGCTCTAAGGAGATGAAGAGCATGGTCAGATTGCAGAATAAGGCACCAGGGTAGCTAGAGCAGAAGGAATGAGGAAGAAGGTGGAAGGAGATGAGTTCCTGAAGTTAAGGACCTTTATACTGTTCACAAAGGAGGTGACCTCATGGCAAAATCACCTCTTAATGCTATCACATTGGCAGTACCTGAATTTTGGAGGGGATACATTCAAACCACAGCTGTATGTTATTCTCTATCTGCTTCTCTACTCCATATGACCATATAGTGGTTTCTTTTCCTCTATACCTTACAGCTTCAAATCATATTGTGTATGTTGCTTTAAATCTTTAACCATGTGTCCTGGTAATACATCTAGGTCAGTAAATCTAGATCCAATTCATACCCCTTCTTTGTATGCCTATATTGTTTGACTATTGCAAAGTATATATTGCTTTTAAAAGGAAAATCCAATAATGTATTTAAAGTGAAAAATATAATGCCAGTATATAATTTTTATCATATATTAATGATTTATTTACCTTTTAAAGCATAGGAATATACTTATCGGCAATTCTTTATTTGCTGCAGGTTTTTTTCCCTGCTGACATTTTTGTTTTTAGAAAAATTTCTGTAGAATAAACATTAATTATCGCCTTAACTAGTATTTCCTTTTCTAAGCAGATTCAATATATTTTTCAGGTTACTATATCCGGGAAAAATCTAAGGAAGTCATCACATTGCTGATGGATGAACAGTTGCTGTGTAAAGAGAGGGAAGTGGCTTGTCGGATCAGGCAGCGTACCTCCTACTCTATGTTGTTTTCTCAAAGAGTATTTGGTTCAAGTAGCTCACTGATAGCACGTGCTTCTGCCCCCACACCAGATATTTCTGCTTCAGAGAAGAAGTATAAGCTTCCTAAGTTTGGAAGGCTACATAATAAAAGTATGTATAATGAACATTGGCCTAAAATGCAACTAGTATTAAAAATGATTTTAAAATATAAAATATTATGTTTTAGTACTAAATTATTGTACTAGTTAGTACTACTACCACCATACTAGGCTTCATACTATAGAAAACAAAGATGAAGAATATTCAGTAGAAGATTTTTTGACTTTTTTATTTAGTTTATTTTTTTTGCTTTATTTATTTATTTTTGAGATGGAATCTTGCTCTGTCACCCAGGCTGGGGTGCAGTGGTATGATGTTGACTCATTGCAACCTTTGCCTCCCAGGTTCAATCAATTTTCCTCCCTCAGCCTCCTGAATAGCTGCAATTACAGGCACCCACCACCATGCCTGGCTAATTTTTGTATTTTTAGTAGAGATGGGATTTCACCATGTTGCCCAGGCTGGTCTCAAACTCCTGACCTCAAGTGATCCTCCTGCCTTGGCCTCCCAAAATACTGGGATTACAGGCATGAGCCACTGTGCCTTGCCCAATTTTATGACTGTTTTCTGAATTCAGTTATCTTGGATTCAAATAAAATGTTTTTGGGCTTTTAAGGTAGTAAACTAGCGAGTACCCTATTTGGCATTGTGATTCAATTTTAAGATTTTATCCTTAACTAGAAAGTGAAGGAGTACAGTTTTCTAAGACTAGGTGTCTGGATATGTGTGTATGAGGTCTCTTTGATCCTATAATATATATCAAATAATTGAAATTTTTAAAAAATCCTCAGAATCCTAAAAGTTCTTCTAGGACAATACTTTGTACTCTTTCCTTTGCTCAAAACTTTAAATATGGACTACTGAACTTTTATAAAAGAGGGATTTGTATATAATGTTATAATAGACATCAGTAGAAAAATGCTGTCATCTTTTCTACCAAATTTGCTAAAACTTAAGTCTTTTTGCTCTAACTTCTCCAGTAGAACCCCTGTTGATAAGTTGTGTATGAGGAATGGACAGTTTAAGAAAGCAAAACATTAATGAAATGTGACTTAGAGAACTGTCTGTTTGTATTCAGTACAAACAGGTAATTCCAAATGTCAGTTAAGTGCAAAAATTTAACAATGTTACTAGTAATACCAACACAAGTTTATCTTGCTGAAATCATTCAAGTACTTTTCTGACTTAATCAAGAGTTTCAAATGGTCACCCAATGGGACATTGAGTGAACATCTGTACTTGGGATTGGAGAGATAGACATTGAAAGAGGGTAGCCGTTGTAATTATAGTAGCAAATGCTACCTACCTGCTTCTAAGAGTGGTGGAATTTCTTTCTTTAGGGTATCTGATTCTTTTGAAATAAATCTCCAAAAGAGCCACTCATTTTGAACTTTTCCCGTGGGAGTCTTTAATTCAAATGGATGCTAAAAACAGAGTCACAGAGAATAATAATCAATATGACTAACTCAGTTTCTTTCCCACTTTTCTCCTTCAGTGTTACCTTTCTTACCCTTCCTTCTTCCATTTCTTTTCAGTTCTTTCCTCTTTCATTATAAACACATAATTATTGAATTTATTTAAAATTTGGATATTCAGCAGAAATTTGGAGCTATAGGAGTGAATACATTTTCTTTCATCATGGAACATTCTAGTGACAGACACTAGGATTTTTCTGTCACAAGCACAAAATAGATAAAATATATCAGATAATAACAAGTCCTATAAAGAAAAGGAAAGCAGAGTCAGGGAACAGAGAGTGACCGGGATGGCTTTATTTTAGGTCACGTAGTGAGAGAAGGCCTTTTAGAGGCAGTGAATCTTTAAATAGACCTGAATGAAGTGAGGGAGCAACCCGTGTACAGGCAAACCTCGACTGATTGCACTTTGCTTTATTGTGCTTCACAGATACTGCAATTTTTATAAATGGAAGGTTTGTGGCCAGCCTACACCAAGGAAGTTTATGGGTGCCATTTTTCTGATAGCATGTGTATACTTTCTGTGTCCCATTTTGGTAGTTCTTGCAATATTTTAAACTTTTTCTTTATTATGTGTCATGATGATCTATGATCAGTGATCTTAGATATTAATATAATTGTTTTGGGGTACCACAAACCATGCCTGTAGAAGACCAGCGTGCTTATTGATAGGTGTTGTGTGTGTTCTGACTGCTTCATGGACCCCCATCTCTATCTCTCTCCTTGGGTCTCCCTAGCCCCTGAGAATCAACAATATTGAAATTAAGCCAATTAATAACCCTACAATGGCCTATAAGTGTTCAAGTGTAAGGAAGAGTCACATGTTTCTCACTTTAATTCAAAAGCTTGAAATGACTAAATTTAATGAGGAAGGCATGTTGAAAGCTGAAATAGGCTGAAAGGTAGGCCTCCTGTGCCAAACAGTTAGCTAAGTTATGAATGTAAAGGAAAAGTTCTTGAAGGAAATTAGAAGTGCTGCTCCAGTGAATACAGGGTTGATAATAATGGGAAACAGCCTTGTTGCTGATATGGAGAAAGGTTGTGTGATCTAGATAGACGATCCAACTAGCCCCAATATTCCATTCAGCCAAAGCCTAATCCAGAACAAGGTTTTAACTGTCTTTAATTCTACAAAGACAAGAGAAATGAAGAAACTTCAGAAGAAAAGCTTGAAGCTAGCAGAGGTTAGTTTGTGAGGTTTAAGGAAAGCAGCTGCCACTATAACATAAAAGTGCAAGTGAAGCAGCAAGTGCTGATGGAGAAGCTGTATCAAGTTATCTAGAAGATCTAGCTAAGGTAATTGATGAAGGTGGCTACACTAAACAGATTTTCAGTGTAGATGAAATAAGGTTTTGTTGGAAAAAGATGCCATCTGGGACTCTCATAGCTAGAGAGGAGAAGTCAATGCCTGGCTTCAAAGCTTCAAAGGACATGCTGACTCTCTTGTTAGGAACTAAGGCAACTGGTGACTTTAAGTTGAAGCCAACTGCTCCTTTACCATTCCAAAAATCTAGTGCCCTTAAGATTCCTTTAAAAATATTACTGCTCATTGGCAATGTACCTGGTCACCCAAGAGTTTTGATGGAGATATACAAGGAGATTAATGTTGTTTTCATACCTGCTAACACAATGTTTATTCTTCAGCCCGTGGATCAAAGAGTGATTTCAACTTTCAAGTTTTATTACTAAAGAAATACATTTCATAAAGCTATAGCTGCTATAGATAGTGATTCCCCTGATGGATCTGAGCAAAGTAAATTAAAAACCTTCTGGAAAAGATTCACCATTCTAGATGTCATTAAGAACATGTGATTCATGGGAGGAAGTCAAAATGTCAACGTTAACAGGAGTTTGAAAGAAGTGGATTCCAAACCTCATGGATGACTTTGAGGGGTTCAAGACTTCGGTGGAGGAAGACTCTGCAGATGTAATGGAAATAGCAAGAAAACTAGAGTTAGAAGTGGAGCCTTAAGATGTGACTGAATTGCTGCAATCTCATGACCAAACTTGAACAGATGAGGAGGTACTTCTTATGGATGAGCAAAGAAAGTGGTTTCTTGAGATGAACTCTACTCCTGTGAAGACACTGTGAACGTTGTTGGACTGCCAACAAAGAATTCAGAATATTACACAAACTTAGTAGATAAAGCGGTGGCAGGATTGAGAGGATTGACTCCAATTTTGAAAGAAGTTCTACTGGGAGTAAAATGCTGTCAAACAGCACTGCATGTTACAGAGAAATCTTTTGTGAAAGGAAGAGTCAGTTGATATTGCAGGCTTTATTATTGTCTTTTAAAAATTACCACAGCCATCCCAACCTTCAGCAACAACCACCCTGATTTGTCAGCAGCCCTCAACCTGGAGGTGAGACCCTCCACTCACAAAAAGATGACTCCCTGACTCAGCCAGGAATCAATGTTCTTCTTAACAGTTATAAAAACACTGAACAAACGGATGTTATTCAAGGACCTATTGTATAATTTTGGCTCAATAGCAAAGATAGTTTTCAGGGAAATGTTTCCATGATAGAGAGTGCTATTACATTTGACGCAGACCAGAGTAATCCTTGATACAGGTTAAGTTCTGTTGCAAAGAACAATGCTAGTGAAGAGCTCTTTATGGAAGATCAGATGACCAACAGGTACGGTTTTGCTGGTCTGGCTAGAAGCAGTGCCTCTGGAGATCATTTTTAAAATAATTGTTGCCTCTACAAAGAATGGCCTGATGCTTAGAGCTGAGTTAAACTGTCCTTTTTCTATTGTTCTGTCTTGCCATCAAGCAGCAATGATCCTTCAGCCCATCTCTTCCTTCAAACATCAAAAGCATCTAAACAAAAACCACCCAAGCTATCTACTAGAATTAAAACTTGGGAAAACATCCAAGAAAAGAAAAAAAAAAGTAGTGGAAGTGGCAATGAGTATATAACACCTTCTTTAAAGTACCTCATTTTCCCTTGCTGATTCACCGTAAAGAAGGGAGGCACAACTGTACTAGCTCTAGGTCGTAAAGCCTGGAAATCATATTTCTTGCATTCAATTTTACATTTCACTGTACCTGAAACACCTAGAGACATCTGAGACTCCTTCTAATGAAAACTTACCTGGATGGTATCATCATTTGCCTCTGTTTTCTCTAATGCAAATGTTACTCATTTGCAATTTCTCTTTCTTCTCCCATACAGTATCAACTTGCCCCCATTGTCTCTCTACAGTCTGTCTTTAAACATTACTGTTTCCTCATTTCTGTAACCCTAGGAGCAGGTCCTGGATGCCTGGATTGAAACAACTGTCTCTTATAAAACTTCGTTCAATTGGTATTTCCTTCATTTCTACAAAAGCAATAAGAATTATCTTCCACAAACAGCTGTTTTCTGTAATAAGGAAACTCAGTTCTGTGACTAAGCTAAACATCCCTTCTGTTCTCCAAGGCCTCCAGTGGTTTTTGGTAGAGAAAAAGTTTCGCCTTGTTTCCCCGGCAGGTCTCAAGTTCCTTGGCTCAAGTGATCTGCTCGCCTCAGCCTCACAAAGTGCTAGGATTACAGGTTTCAGCCATCATGCCTGGCCAGCATTTAAAAGA